TGGTAGCGCACACCTGTAGTTCCAGCTACTTGGAAGGCTGAGGCGGAAGGATCGCTGGAGCCCAGCAGGTCAAGGCTGCAGTGGTCAGGAGCAGCCACTGCACTCCAGTCTTGGTGACAGAGTGAGACTTCAACTCAAAAAAAAAAAGAATGCAACTGTCTTTTGCACATTTATTTTGTACCCTGAGACTTTGCCAAAGTCCTTTATCAGAGCAAGGAGGTTTTTGACAGATTCTCTTGGATTTTCAAGGTATAGGATCATATTATCAGCAAAGGGGGATAACTAAATTTCCTCTTTTCCTATTTGGACACTCCTGATTTCCTTTTCTTGTTTGATTGCTCTAGCTAGGACTTCCAACACTATGTTGAACAGGAGTAGTGAGAGAGTAGGCAGTCTTGTCTTGTTATGGTTTTCAGGGGAAATGCTTCCAACTTCTGTCTTTTTAGCAATATGCTGGCTGTGGGTTTATCATAGATGGCTTTTACTATTTTGAGGTATGCTCCAGTATGGATGCTGAATTTTATTGAAAGTTTTTTTTGCACCTGATGATATAATCACGTGATTCCTGTTTTTACATCTGTTGATGTGTTTAATTACATTTATGGTCTTATGGATGTTGAACCAGTCCTGCATCCTGGGAATGAAGCCTACTTGGTCACGGTAGATGATTTTTGAGATGTGTTGCTGGCTCTGGTTTGCTACAATCTTTTTGAGAATTTCTATATGTATGTTCATCTGGGAAATTGGCCTGTAGTTCTCTTTCTTTGTTGAATCTTTACCTGGTTTGGGTGTCAGTGTGATGTTAGTTTCATAAAATGATTTGGGGAGAGTTCCATCTTTCTTGATTGCCTGGAATACTTTCAATAGGATTGGTATTAGCTCCTCCTTGGATGTTTTGTAGAATTCTGCTGGAAAGTCATTTGATCCAGGACTTTTTTTTGGTAGGAATTCTTATGATTTCCTGGGTTACTATTGGTCTATTTAGGGTCACAATTTCTACTTGTTTCAACCTTGTGGGGTTGTGTGTCAGAAAGTCCTCCATTTCATTAGGTTTTTGAGTTTGTTTCCATACAGATGTACATAGTAGTCTCTGATAATCTTTTGTATTTCTTTGGGGTCAGTTGTGACTTGATCTTTTGCATTTCTGATTGTGTTTGTTTGGGCTTTTTCTTGGTCAATCTGGTTAGGGATCCATCAATCTTGTTTAACCTTTTAAAGAACCACCTTTTTGTTTCATTTTTTTCTAGGATATTTTTGTCTTCTATGTGCCATATCTGGGCTTTTACTTTGGTGATCTGGATTCCTCTGCTCAAACTAGAGATTTGGAGGTCTTGTCTTTCCAGCTCCCTTAGGTGATTTGTTAGGCTGTTAACTTGTGATCTATTTTCTTGTGATATAGATAGAGATATAAATTCCCCCTTAGTACTGCTTTCATGGCATCCCTGGGATTTTGGTAAGATGTGTCTTTATTTTCATGTGTTTCCACAAATCTGTTCATTTATGCTTTGATTTCTGTGTTGACCCAGGAGTTGTTCAGCATCATGCAGTTTAGTGTCCACGTCTTTATGTGTTTTGGGGAGTTTTGTTAGTGGTGATATTTTTATTCCACTGTGGTCTAAGATGGTGCATGGCAGTATTTTGATCTTATGGAATTTGTTTATGCTTGATTTATGGCTGAGGTTGTGGTCGATCTTGGAGTATGTTCCATGTGGTGATGAGTAGAATGTATACTTCTGTGGTTGCTGAGTAGAGTGTTCCATAGGTATCTATTAAGTCAATTTGGTCAGACATCATATAACTGAAGATTTAAACCTAGTGGTAATCATAGTCGTGAAATATATACCACAAAATATTACTACTGCAAAAAGTATGTGAGCCACTTGTAACCACAAAATATCTATTTCTGTTATCAAACAAAAGGGAGCTACCCAAGACTCAAACAGCATAGAATAGATTACATCATCATTTGCCTACAGATACTGAGAGACATTTTATTTATTTATTTATTTTTTTGAGTTGGAGTCTCACTCTGTCACCCAGACTGGAGTGCAGTGGCTGCTCCCAGCCACCGCAGCCTCGACCTGCTGGGCTCCGGCGATCCTTCCGCCTTGGCCTTCCAAGTAGCTGGAACTACAGGCGCACACTACCACGCCCGGCTAATTTTGATTTATTGTAGAGATGAGGTCTCACCAAGTTGCCCAGGCGGGTCTCAAACCCGCAGGCTCAGGCAATCCACTCACCTCAGGCTCCCAAAGGCGCGGGATTACAGGCTGAGCCACCGAACCCGGCCTGAGAGACATTTTAAATTATTACAGCAACATAGGGAGCAAAGAACAAAAAAAGGATCACCACCTGATAAAAGCTCTCACTGGAAATATAATTAGCTAGATAATATGCCAATGAGTATGTATTAAGCTTCTGTGGGCTTTTACAAGCTTCTATAAGCTTTTACATAAGAAATATAAAAGCATCTTGGTAAACCCCAAGTAGGGAACTCCACCTACAGGCAAATCTCCATGCTACTACTGAATACTATAACCATCATGAGGCTGCCTAACACAATACCAGGGCTGTGAACTAACATCTAACATTAAGTGTCATCAGTAAGAAAGGATAGAAACCTGAAGCTCGAACTCCCTAAATACACTGACCCATGGATAATACTGTTTTATCCTGAATTATCAAAGTCAACCTAAGCACTACCGAAAAGTCTACACAGACCCATTCACACTTTTGGAGTAACTGAGGCAATAAAGGGATGGTAGCTACTAATACCGCAGCTTTCTGCTTTCACAGCTGGCAAGGATATGGCCAGCATTCACCCTTATCATTGAACAATGAAATTAGGAAAGAAATACCAGAAATCATAAGGTGACTGTAGACAAGGAATAGATTGCAAAATCCTTAACAAAGGACAGAATAAGAATGGACTGAGGAAACAGCATTTCTACCTTCACAAAATATTTCTAAAGTTCGCAATGTTTTTGTTGACCCTCAACAGAATAGCTCAGGCAGGAATTCAGGATAGGCCTGTTGCAAAACTCATGAGTATCCTAAAGGAATATGGCATTTCCAAAGTGTGGAACACACAACTCAGTGAAATTCAAGACAATTCATGGTATAAATGAGTTTGAGGTGATACAGTAAATAACTTTGGATGACACAGAGTCAATTTTCTCTTCAATTCTCTATCAAATCCTGATTATATATTAAAAAAAGAAAGTCTTGCCTTGGTGTTAGACTGTCTTTAGCATTTACCTCATAGCTACAAATCTTTTAATAGTGAGAAAACAGACCTCTCCAGTTGTTTGTTTTCATGGTAATTATCTTCAGAGTTACTTTCAATTTATGGCAATAAATATATTTATGGCAGTAAAAATATTTTAAGACAAATTTAAATACAAATTTTGAGTCAATTTAGTAAGTACATAAGAGCACAGTTGGTACACAGATATGGCAAAAATGATGAAGGCAGCATCAAAATGACTAGAGCTGGAAAGTAGAGAACACTTTGAAGGAAGTAAGGAGACAGAAAGAACGAGCATGGTCCTAGCACTTACTAATCAGTCCTGTGCCCTTAGCAAAGTTCTAACCTCCATAGGCCTGACTTTCTTCAACTACAAAATACAAAGTGATCTAAGATTGGGTTTCCCACATTATAGTGACCTGCATGCCAAAAGCACAATTTTTGTCATGTCCACATACTATCTACACTACTATAAATTTTTCTTAAATGGAGTAACTTTTTTTTCATGGAAGAGATACATAGGGCAAGGAGTATGGAGGAATGGGAGGGTGACAGAACTTCCACGCCCTTCCAGATACACCACCCTCCTAGCATCTCAATGTATTCCCCAACACAGGAAGTTCTCTTAAACTCATGGTTTCTTGGAGGCTTTATTATTAGACATGACTGATTAAACCACTGCTGATTAGCTCAGTCTCTAACCCCTCTTCCCTTCCTGGGGTTAGGGGTTGGGCTGAAAGTTCCAACCCTCTAGTCATGCCTTGGTCCTTCTGGACCTGCTCCTCCTGAAGCTATTTGAGCCCCTAGTGACCAGTCATCTCATTAGGTGTCAAAAGGACATTCTTATCACTCCAGGGAGTTCAAGGAACTTAGAAGTTCTTGTGTCAGGAACTGGGAACTAAGACCTAACATTACAACAAAAGATGCTCTTATCACCCCATCACTCAAGAAATTAAAGGAGTTTTAGCAGCTACTATGTATTGATTGTTCATGTCCCCCCCAGATTCATATGTTGAATCCAAGTCCCTAGTATGATGGTATTATGATGAGGCAGGGTCTTTGGGAGGTGATTTGGTCATAAGGGCATAATTTTTTAAAATTGATATACACTTTATCTGATAGGAGACTAGCACTACTAAAAATGAAAAACCAATATTTTAATACATATTAAAATACATATGTAATTATTCATTTTTGTTTGTATAACCTAAAGTTATTTCATATGTGTAAGACAGCTAACATTTGAGGCAACAATCATATAAGGCAGCACTTCCCATTCAGTTCGCTAAGGATGTCACTGCAGCACATGGGTGGCAGGTATGGCAAGATATCTGTTCCTTTAACCCCTGAAGTAGCCAAGGGCCTGAGATTTTTGGGGCTCCTATGTTATTTGCTTCTGGCCATAAGCAGCCTTCTCTGTTTACCCCAATATGTCACATATGACATGAAAAAGGTAGGTAGCATTAATCTAAGGAACTCTTTAATGCTGATATTTTATGATAAGGGTGTTTTCTTTATCTGTTCTTATTTTATTTTAGTAAGGATCTCACTCTGTTGCCTTGGCTGAGTGCAATAGCACAATCACAGCTCACTAAAGCCTCCAATTCCTGATCTTAAGCCTATGTCTCCCAAGTAGTTGGAACTACAAGCATGCACGACCATGCCCTGCAAATTTTTTTTTTGGTAGAGATGAGATCTTGCTATGTTGCCCAGGCTGGTCTGGAACTCCTGGCTGCCTTGGTTCAAGCAATCTTCCTACCTACAAGAACGCACCACTATGCCCTGCAAATTTCTTTTTTTTTTTTTTAAGAGATGAGATCTTGCTATGTTGCCCAGGCTGGTCTTGAACTCCTGGCTGTCTTGGTCCAAGCAATCTTCCTACCTCAGTCTCCCAAAGTGCTGGGATTTCAGGCGTGGGCCACCATGCCTAGCCTTTTTATTTTCAATTTTCTTCAATACCAAGCCCAAAGACTCAAAAAGGGAGTCCCAGAATATGCTTTTAGAAATCTAGAAACTCTAGCATCTTAATATCTAAGGCAATCACAACCACTTAAGAATTAATATATGCAAATGGTTGATTTTATACAGATTATCATGAAAAGCCTTATCCCATGTAATCTTGCTAGTAATAATCTTTTACAATTTTTTACTTAAAAATAAACATTTTTCTCTGATGAATATATTCACGTAGATACATCCTTACTCACCAACCATTTTCTTTTTCACGTTTAGATAGCTTCTGTTCTTTATCCACAGAAACATTGCAGGAAACACCTAAAAAGAAAGTAACAATAACGTATATACATAGTTTGTTATAATATACATACAGACACTTAGAGAATTTCAAGCCAACTTTTATTTTAGAATGCAAAGAACCAGAAAAAGTAAGAGACCAAAGTCACACATACACAAGAGTGGTTCAAAACTAAATGGACTGGAGTCTTCTGGAAAAAGATGGCAGAACAAGGGTTATTTCTTTCCTTTACCTGAAAGCCAATGATATTAACAGAATGATCAAATTAGAGGAGAAAATCCAAACAAGAGTGAAACTTGGAACCATTAGAATCTTAAATCACAGACTGTAAAGAATATCTTCTAGATAGTGAAATTGGGATTGAAATCAAGGTAGATGCTAAAAGCCAATGCACATATCACTAGACCTTAAACACAGAGCCTACGTTTCCAAAAGTAATTGAGAGGGTCCTCAGGATTCCAGGCAAACATCTTTCACTTGGACCATGACTTGGCCAGGAGTCACAACTAGACTCCAAAAACAGCAAACAAAAGGATAGGGTGGAGGATGGAGGGGTGTGGGAGAACCCCAGACAAAAAATGGCCAAAACAGGCTCTTGATTTCACCTCTTCCTGCAGTCTATCTTGACAACAACAAACACCACCTCTACCTACCCAGTTGCTCAAATCAGAAGCCAGGGTTCATTCTCGACTCATCTTAATCCTGCTCCCCTACATCCACTTCACAGATACACCCTGTCAATTCACAAACCTCACTCCAGCCCCAAACCACCACTAGCTCCTCACTGACTTCCCCACTTCCATGCATATCACTCCCCTGCCTAAATGTCTCACTCATTAAAATAGATCACTAGTCATTAGAACAGCATACAAGGCCTGCAGGTTATGGCCTGTTCCTTCTTCCCTAAACCTTATCATTATTTTACTCTTCGATCATACTAGTCTCAAGACCTTTGCACTAGTTACTCTGTGCCTGGAAAAAGCAAAAATCATGACCCAAGAACTGTACATGCAGCCAAGTTGGCATTCATATATAAAAACAACAGGAAAACGCTTTTAAGCACTCAAACTTTAAGTTTTCTTGAAGACGGAGGGAACACTGGTGTCGATTAATCAACTCAAGAATGGGAAAGCTACTAAGAAGCTTTCTTATATTAATAAGTGTATTGGAAGTGAAAAATGAGTTAATATAAACAAATAAAGTAATATAAACACTATATTAAGGCCATGCTATGGCTACAGAACAGAATATAAATGTTACAAAAGTTACAAAGTAAAAATAATTAAATTAACTCAAACTGGGTAAGGAAAAATAGGAAGGAATCTAAGAGTTCATTTATTTGTCTTTGTTGGAGCAGGGACAGGTGTTAAATCGTATTATCTAAAGCTGATAAACCAAGATGTTTATAGGCTTTTTTTTTTTTTGAGTTGGAGTCTCACTCTGTTACCCAGACTGGAGTGCAGTGGCCGCTCCCGGCCACCGCAGCCTCGACCTGCTGGGCTCCGGCGATCCTTCCGCCTCAGCCTTCCAAGTAGCTGGAACTACAGGTGCGCGCTACCACGCCTGGCTAATTTTTGATTTATTGTGGAGATGAGGTCTTGCCAAGTTGGCCAGACGGGTCTCGAACCCGCGGGCTCAGGCAATCTACTCATCTCAGCCTCCCAAAGGGCGGGATTACAGGCTGAGCCACCGAGCCCGGCTGTTTATAGTTTTTTAAGTTTAAAAACTACTGACATAGCCGGGCTCGGTGGTTCAGCCTGTAATCCCGCGCCTTTGGGAGGCTGAGGTGAGT